AAGGTTTCAGTGTTTCATTGAGTTTATAAACTAAATAAGGGAATATTTCGTAAACAATGTTTCGGTGGGAGATGATATTTCGTAAATGTAACAGAAGGCTAAGTACAGCAGCTCAGTTTGTGAGATGGTGAGGAATAGTGTAAAGGTAAGTGGTGTGGAAATGGAATAGGGTATGAAGGGAAAATGGGTATCAGGAGAAAGCGCCAAGCCATTATGACTATATAGCCCTGGGAACGGGTCAGGATTTGGGATGAGGCGGGGGGAAAGGAATAGTGCCCAACTACTTGGACGGTCAGGGATTTACCCATGAACCATTTCGTGTTTCTTAATGAGCCGTTCAACGTTTCTCAAGACCAATCCACGTGGCTGTCAATCAATCCGAGTTTTACTGAAATCTATTCCAAGTTTCACTGTGAACAATTCCACGTTTCACTGTGAACAATTCCACGTTTCACTGTGAACAACTCCACGTTTCACTGTGGAATTTCTGTAGTGAAAGCGGATGCTAAAATTCAGATACAATACACAAAGGAAATACCTATCACCCTCGTCGTTAACGAGATGGTGGTGGCGCTGGCTTTAAATGGAATTAAAAATTATTTCTAGTGCCATAACAGAGTTCATTCGGCCGTATTATCGTTGTGTAATTATTTAATATTTAATACAAATGAACAGTAGCGATGATGATCATTTCAGCAGCAATTTCGCAATGCAATTATACACAAACATATGGGATATACATAAGTGGGTTTGATGCGTGCATTAGAGGGTTTAATGCGTGCATAAGTGGGTTTGATGCGTGCATTAGAGGGTTTAATGCGTGCATAAGTGGGTTTGATGTATTTTTAAGTGTTTCATTCATTTTGAAATGAAATCACGGATATGTTTTCCATAGAGTTTTCCCAGCATTTGTTTTATGATTTACTTAAAAGTTATGAACTGGATTCATTCAGTTGATGAAAATAATGCAAATAAGTGATGCAAATAATGAGTATAGAATGATCGGAAAATATTTATAGCCTAAGATGGATATCACTTCACAGAAATCTCTCTCTCTTCTACTAGAAGAAATGAACATCGTTAGCGCTCACACTCAGGAAATTCTTGACTGAAATCATGGCAGTTGTAACACTCGTCAGGAAAGAAAATTAATTTCTTTCCTTGTCCTCAGGCAACAGATTGATTGGCTGATGAGAGACGAGCATCAGAGCGAGACAGAGAGAGAGAGAGAGAGAGAGAGAGAGAGAGAGAGAGAGAGAGAGAGAGAGAGAGAGAGAGAGAGAGAGAGAGAGAGAGAGAGAGAGAGAGAGAGAGAAAGTAGAGAGAGTAGAGAGTAGAAAGTAGAGAGAGAGTAGAAAAAGAAGGAGGGAACGGCAGAAAGGAAGGAAACTATTAGGGAAAAGCGTCAAGCCATTACGCCTATATAGCACTGGGGTCAGGATAAGGATTTGGGATGGGACGGAAGGAAGGAATAGGGAAGAGAGGGAAGGAAATTACGGGAAGAGAGAGCTGAAAATCGGAGGAGAGGGGTGAAAGAAAGATGCTGGTGGAGAGTGAATTAGAGAGAGGCAGAAAAGTTGAGAGTGGGAGAAGGGAAGGGAGTGAGAAGTAGTAAGAAAGGGGAGAATAGAGGGGGAGAGAGGGAGAGAGGGAAGACAGGAAAGAAGAGGGATGAGAAAAGGGACAGAGTGCTTGAGAGAAGGTACTTGAGAAGTGGGAAAGATAGGAGGAGGATGATATAGGAGGACGGGAATAGATAGGGGGGACAGGGAAACTAGAAGGGATTTGGAAAGAAAGTGGAATAGAGTATGCATAGCTGCATACACCTCTATTCTATAGGAATTCTAGTCTATAAGAAGTTACTATATTCTAGACAAAGTTGTCATAGTCAATACAGAGCTTCTATGGCCTACAAAGAGTTGCCATAACCTGTAAATAGAGGAGGTTAACATAGCCTAAAGAAAGTTGCTATAGTCTGTAGGTAGACAGCATGATCTTTAGGGAGTTACCATAGTCTATACTGAGCTCCCATAGTCTATAAGGAGCTTCCATTATGTATACAGATTTGCCATAGCATTATAGAGAATTGCCATACACTCCTACTATCATGCATAGTGTCAACGTAAGATAAAATGAATAAATAACCTATGTTTATATATATTAATAAATTGCTTATTCCCCAAGCACAGCATAAAGTAAAATGAGAAAGACTTAAATTGGCATTATCATCCACGCTCATTCCTTCACAAAATAGAAATACAGGTAATACTTAAGAGATAAGGACGAATGATTCACGTTCTGGTTCTTTGAGTTTTGTATTTTCCCCGGGGGACCATACAGGCCGTCTGCCCTCAAACCACCAGCCTTTTTGTCTTCAAGACGAATTGTGGGTCGTAACAATGCGTGTTGTGTTGAATCCGCAACATGTTGCAACAGAATCCTTCAAATCCTGGATGGGCAAGATGGCTTCGGTCAAAGGCGACTTACAGCGTTAATGAAAATTCCAGATCGCGATCTGGAATATATATATATATATATATATATATATATATATATATATATATATATATATATATATATATATATATGTCGTACCTAGTAGCCAGAACGCACTTCTCAGCCTACTATGCAAGGTCCGATTTGCTTAATAAGCCAAGTTTTCATGAATTAATTCTTTTTCGACTACCTAACCTACCTAACCTAACCTAACCTAACTTTTTCGGCTACCTAACCTAACCTAACCTATAAATATAGGTTAGGTTAGGTAGGGTTGGTTAGGCTCGGTCATATATCTACGTTAATTTTAACTCCAATAAAATAAAATTGACCTCATACATAACGAAATGGGTAGCTTTATCATTTCATAAGAAAAAAAATAGAGAAAATATATTAATTCATGAAAACTTGGCTTATTAGGCAAATCGGGCCTTGCATAGTAGGCTGAGAAGTGAGTTCTGGCTACTAGGTACGACATATATATATATATATATATATATATATATATATATATATATATATATATATATATATATATATATATATATATATATATATATAAGTATATTATACTTATTATAATACAAGTATAATATAAATATAGTATATATAAATATATATATACAAGTATAGTATAATATAAATATTATATATATAAATACAAGTGTATTTGCAACAGGGTGGAAGCAGACCAATACGGACTGCATGGGTTGCATTGCAGAAGCACAAAGGGCTGGCATGCAAGACACAACGAGGTCAATGACATCATCAAGAGAAGCCTCGTCTCAGCTAGGTGCCCAGCAGAGAGAGAACCTCGCATCCTAGGGGTCCAAAACCCGGATTTCCCAGCACTTCGCCCTGATGGCATCACCATATACCCATGGAAGGAGGGTAGACAGTTGGTGTGGGACTACACATGTGTATCCACCCTGGCTGACACCTATGTACACTTCGGAGCTGATCAAGCAGGTGGGGCGGCCAACCACAGGGAAACAGCAAAATCACTCAAGTACACGCGACTGGAAGGTCAATACCTCTTTGTTCCCATAGCGTCTGAGACGCATGGCCCCTGGGGCAAGAGTGCCTTGGGATTTCTCAAGGAATTGGGTTCCAAGCTCATTGATGTCACCAGAGACCCAAGGGCTTCCAGTTTTTTGTTTCAGCGTCTCAGTGTGGCGATCCAGAGGGGAAATGCTTGCTGCGTCCTCGGTTCCTGTCCAGATGCGGAGGAGCTTCAAGAGATCCATAACCTTTAGGCATTTGTCTTGTGTGTTTTGTAACCTTTAAATACACAATAAAGGGAAAAAAAAAGGGAAGGGGGTGGTAGGAGAAAAAACACACAGAAACTGTATTGGAGGGGACCCACATTCCCTCCAATGCGTTATGTGTGGTTTCCTCCGAGGCTATGGGTCCCCCTTCTTCCAGCCAGAGGTGGTACTCCCTTCCCTTTTGTCTGGAAAAAAAAAATATATATGTGTATATATATATATATATATATATATATATATATATATATATATATATATATATATATATATATATATATATATATATATATATGAAATAGTCTGATTATATTTTTTATTTTCATCGCAAAAGAAATAAAAATAAAATACTAGATGGCGACTTCACAGTGTTACCACTTGCTCTGTGTTGCGCTGTGGTTGGCGACTTAAGAAAATACACTTAAGAGTTTTCCGGTCTTTGTTAAATAAAGCCAAAATGTAGCTAAAAGAAACCTTTTTTTATGGTAATAATAATACAAATATTTATACATTAACGATGATGAGAAAAGTGTATGTATTAGACCCATTGTATCGTTTCCACAATCTCATTGAACGTGTAGTTTGCATTCCATTGTATTCATGGTCTGAATGGACTGACTCAGACCGACATACACACTCCCATTCACAGGCAAAATCATACACTAAATCTAACGGAATCCAATTTTTCGACAATGAAGTACAAAATAAAGCGAACTAAGACCTAGAGTCTCTCGGTCAGCTGGTAATATGTGTCTCATTTGAGCCATCTGTCGGAAAATAAAGTTTTACCGGCCGATACATATCCACCGGCTGGAAAATCTCCCCTCCTTAAATCCCCATAACCGTAAAGCGCCAGAATCTACGGATTTTTCACGGCCTTTAGGAGGATATCTTATTAACCCAATTTGATGAAAAAATTTAATGAAAATTTTCAGAATTTTCCCGTAATAGTTCGATTTTTGTTGGTGTTTCCTTCGTGGTAATAAATGTTCAAACATTGGGGTAAACTTCTGTAACATTGCAGCTGTCTTTATAAACATTGTATGGAAATCTAGATCTAAATGTTATTGTTGCGTCTAGAGCGAAGTATTGTAAGGGAACCAATCGGTTATCGCCTCATTTGAGAGGCCATAACCAAAGGATAACCACTCTATCCAATTTTACTGCCTTTTACCAAGCCAAACGAGGCGTTCAGGTGGTTTAAGATGCCGAGGATCGTGAACTTAACGAGAAGGCTCGCTACATTTTTATACTGTTTCTTGTTGTTCTTTTTCTGGGTGTAGGTGCCCCATCACACTGTGGTATTATGGGTGTAGGTGCCCCATCACCCTGTGGCATTTTGGGTGTAGGTGCCCCATCACACTGTGGTATTGTGGGTGTAGGTGCCCCATCACACTGTGGTATTATGGGTGTAGGTGCCCCATCACACTGTGGCATTGTGGGTGTAGGTGCCCCATCACCCTGTGGCATTGTGGGTGTAGGTGCCCCATCACCCTGTGGCATTGTGGGTGTAGGTGCCCCATCACACTGTGGCATTGTGGGTGTAGGTGCCCCATCACCCTGTGGCATTGTGGGTGTAGGTGCCCCATCACACTGTGGTATTATGGGTGTAGGTGCCCCATCACACTGTGGTATTATGGGTGTAGGTGCCCGATCACCCTGTGGCATTGTGGGTGTAGGTGCCCCATCACACTGTAGCATTGTGGGTGTAGGTGCCCCATCACACTGTGGTATTATGGGTGTAGGTGCCCCATCACCCTGTGGCATTTTGGGTGTAGGTGCCCCATCACACTGTAGCATTGTGGGTGTAGGTGCCCCATCACACTGTGGTATTATGGGTGTAGGTGCCCCATCACCCTGTGGCATTGTGGGTGTAGGTGCCCCATCACACTGTAGCATTGTGGGTGTAGGTGCCCCATCACACTGTAGCATTGTGGGTGTAGGTACCCCATCACCCTGTGGCATTGTGGGTGTAGGTGCCCCATCACACTGTGGCAATGTGGGTGTAGGTGCCCCATCACACTGTAGCAATGTGGGTGTAGGTACCCCATCACACTGTAGCATTGTGGGTGTAGGTGCCCCATCACACTGTGGCAATGTGGGTGTAGGTGCCCCATCACCCTATGGCATTGTGGGTGTAGGTACCCCATCACACTGTAGCATTGTGGGTGTAAGTACCCCATCGCACTGTGGCAATATGGGTGTAGGTACCCCATCACACTGTGGCATTGTGGGTGTAGGTGCCCCATCACCCTATGGCATTGTGGGTGTAGGTACCCCATCACACTGTAGCATTGTGGGTGTAAGTACCCCATCGCACTGTGGCAATGTGGGTGTAGGAGCCCCAGAGTCAAATTCTCTGAAAACCATACAAAGTTTTGCACTTTTCAACCCGTGCAATATTTATTTTGATCTTATGACAGCATGCTGAGCTACTGTAAAATACCGACAATACAATGTTGTATATTTTAAAACTTCTACACTACTCCTCTGCTTTATAACAGCGTTTGTTGGCAAGTTTTGAGTGCTCATCTGAACTCCAGAGAAATATATGCCATAGCAACGTGTGCAATTGCTCCAGAAATCCGGCCCAAAGAATCCCAGTTGCAGATTGAATCTGATTGTTATCAGAACGAGAAAACAAAGCCTGTGTTAATAATTACTCAAACTACCTCATGTATCCTAATACAGCAAATGTGGTATGAGATGAGAGAGATCTTCCCCATATGACATGACATATAAAAATATTTATAAAGTAAAAAGAACATTTATTTAAACGATTTCTAATGGCATTGTTGATACAAGTATAGTAGAACACAGATTGGCTTGTTAATCAATAGACGGGGGGAAATCTAATAACTTGTAGAGTATCATAGTCTGACGATCTCACTACTTTAGTTTACACTGCCTGGTGAGCTCACTACTTTAGTTTAAATTACCTGCTGAACTCACTACTTTAGTCTGACACGAAGGGTGAAGCTGGTAGAGTTCTGGCCCCAGAAAAAACAGTGTAAAAAGGTTCCTATCACAGCCCAAATGATAACAAAACACTGTATATCTATCTCGCAGTTTATCAGAACGTGGCAAACTCACCTTATATACTCGAGCGAACAGGGAGCAAATAATTAGCATGATTCCTCAGCAAATTTTAACTCACTTTTTAACTATGGTAAAACCCCACTTGCTTATGGTAATAATGATGCTAACTAGCTTTAGGTTATGGTGACGCCATAATTAATCTAATCTTCATTGTAGCTAATCTTGCTATTAGCTACAATGAAGCCCTTCTCATTACTAGTATTATGAAGCCTGGTTCTCTATTAGCTATGACACTCTCATATCCTGTAAGCTTTTCTTAATATTTTGCAAAAATACAAAAATAGAGTTCGGATATTTTATTAAATTGTTCGTAACTGTCCTGCGATAATCATCTTCCATATCATTAACTTATAAGTGCAAAACTATTTTATCTAATGAATCATGAGAAACTATCCTTGTAATATATATTGCAAGATGGTACAATGCCACATGAAAGGAGAAAATCCCATAAAAAAAGTATCATGATTTTATTAAGCCTTTGAACTCGTGTTCTTAAAAATCATTCATAATTCAGTTTGATTAAATGAAAAATGATTGGAAAAATATTTTTTTGTTAAGCAAGTTACAAATATTTTAGTGCTTAGGAAGCAGGAAGAGATGGCCGTGAAAAACTTGCTTTCTGTAACGTTGTTAAATTATATAATGTTTTCTAACATTAGTTTTGAAACCCAAAAGATGTTCCTATATATATGAAAACTGCTGTTGGTTAATAGAGCAACTGGAGACGCTTGTTAATTCCTGAAGTCTATTCCTTGTATCAAGTGCTTTCACTCTTCTGTTACTGCCTTCAGACTTCGACGACCTGTCATTGCCCTTAAGACCTTTACCATTTGGCACTGCCTTCAGACTTAATCGCTCTGCAACGGCAATCAGATCTCGCCCACTGAATTCAGACCTCTGCCATCTGTCACTGATTTCAGGCCTCGACTACCTGTCCCTGCCTTCAGGCCTCGACAACTGCCTTCATGCCCCTGATTCGTCTTTTGACATGTCTAGGACGGAACAAGTCCACAAAGGCCGTGACGAGGATTCGAACCAGCGTCCGTCAAAGCTCTTCCACTTTGATTCCTAACTCTTTCCTCATCACCTGCCTCTAGTGTGTCGCCCATATAACCTGTCACAGGTGTACTACAGAGGCTCCTTGGCCTCACTTGTATTTCTTGGGTGGAAAAGCCATGAAGGCTGATATTTATATTTATATAAGTTATGCTGAAGATGATAACTGTTTATATATTAGAATTAAAATCTCGTAAATGTCATGTATTTAAAACAATTATTTAGTCGTACTTACAGAAAGGGACTGTTGCAGCCGAGAATATTTTAGTTTTGTACAAGTAATTTTGACGAGGGAACAAATAAAGACCCAAAATAAACTTAATTTATAGGTTAGAATAACAATTCTGAACTATTAAGCTTAATATAACGTATATTGAATTTGCACGATAAATTAGAATCTTGACTTACTTTTTTTTAAATAATTTATCTTGATCTAATTTAATAATAAAGCACGTGAACCTTCTTGGAACCAACAGTGAACTTTTGTGTGGTTGAACAAATAGTTGCTATAAGCGCTATCAACATTGAAGAATTAGCTGAATGTTGCGAATGTATATGAATGAGTTTCATTAGGAATAAACATGCGTTGCCTCGCACGGGGGCAATAAGCTCTCTGTAGTTGCTAATGTTCTTATGGTTTTTTAGTAGAGTGCAAGAGCTGAGCAATTGCAAAACCCATATTACATTGCAGGGAGAACAAAGTATTCGCTCTTCATGCACACATATACTTGGTTTCTATATCAACCATTAGCATTTTTATATATTTTATTGGTTAATATCGTACTCAGCTAATTCATTCATTCATTATTAATCAAACGGTTTAACTGAAGAAAATGGTTGAAATTCATGTTTATTTAAACATTTAAAGACATTATATGCTCTGGAATTCCATTCTCTGTTGTTATATAATTGGTATGTCTAACTTGTAATGCAGAGATGATATAAATATATTTTTCTTATATCACATTACAAATATATATATAGCTCAAAAGCATATTTATCAAACAGAAAAATGTGATGATATGAAATTTCTTTATAAAATGTTATTAACAAAAAGATAAATATTAAATTATACAAATAAAAATATTTGAATAATTATTACATTTAATTGTTGTTAAATATACAATTAGTAGTTATATGACTCTCTGAATTATTTAACAAAGGGTGATTAAGAAGATAATTAAGAGTTGGTAACAACTGACATAAATGCTGACAACTGGTGACAAGTGAAATAGTGGCATTTATTTACACAGGAATACAATCTCTCAGTTAAGATATAGACACCGAAAGATGTACGGAATTTCTCGGTGTATATTTACACAGCGAGTTTACATTTGTTGATCTTTGTAAACATGTTGGATGGTCAGTAAGAGTTGTCACGGCCCTAATAACCCTCGTGCAGTCTATATAGCCTCTGTGCCCAACACCAAATAAATTCTTAAGTATTTGTGCAGAATGATATTATTTTTTTACAGGTACACATATACACTGGGTTTCAGAGACTGGGATTGGATGTGGGTTTTCATGATATTTCAATATCTTCACACACTTGTTGCAATGACAGGAACATAGGTAAATTAATAAGTTTGAAAGGAAATGTATGGGTATTAATTAAGAAGGGAAAAAAATTATTAATAACCTTAGGAAGAAATTTGAGAAAAACTATTTGTTGCAGTTTAAATATGTTTCAATATTAAAATGTAGAAGCAGGTGGTAATATTTTTTGTTGGATAAAATATAAAACAAACATGAGCAGAAGGAGAGGATATAAATATATATATATATATATATATATATATATATATATATATATATATATATATATATATATATATATATATATATATATATATATGTGTGTGTGTGTGTGTGTGTGTGTGTGTGTGTGTGTGTGTGTGTGTGTGTGTGTGTGTGTGTGTGTGTGTGTGTGTGTGTGTGTGTGTGTGTGTGTGTGTGTGTGTGTGTGTGTGTGTGTGTGTGTGTGTGTACAAACGGATGAAAGAAGTTTTGAAAAAGTCAGATATATAGAAGGATTACGGCTCCCCTCCTGCCCTCAGCGAGCCTCAAATGGATACCAGCTGGAGTGAGAGAGGACACTATCCGTGGCTAGCTGCGTCAACAAATGGAAGGCTAGTCCGAACACACACAAAAAAAGCACCACCAACCAGAAAAAAATAGGGGAAAGGGGGGTGGGGGGGGCTTAAAAAATAAAAAATAGGTGAAGAGGGATAATTTAGCGCGCTAGTGTGTGTGGCGTCCAGCGCGCAGGTGAGTAGGGGAATTCAGAGGTGCGAGGCTGGCTGTCGGGTTAGTGTGTCGGCCGCTGCGAGCAGTGCCGCGGTTCTCTCCCCCTCTCTGCTCTCTGCCTGCTTCAGGACCTGCCTGCTGGCCTGTCTGCCTGCCTTATCCCACTCTCTTATTCCCCCGTATCCACTTCCCCCCCCCCCCCACACACGCCACCCACTCTCTTCTCCTCCTCCGCCTCTTTCTCCTCATATCTCCAAATTCTCCAATAACCTTCTAAGCTGCCCAATCACCAGGTCGCCCCATGATGATAGGAGATAAATGAGCTCAGAAAGTAGACGCCAGGAGCCACCAGCTCTACCCTAAGGTGATGCTGCGGGACTTAATGCATTCCAAACTATTAAGACATTGTAAATGGCTCCTCGTGGCGTTATTTGAAAACAAAACAAGTGATGTGTTTGTGTATATCCCAGTGTTTTATTCGAGGCAACTGTGAACACCTTGTGTGTTGCTTAAGAAAACAACAGTTTATCTGAGAAATTTTAAAACACTTTAGTGTTCTCAAGACACCGAGAACGTTAGAGAACCTAGACAAAGTGAGTTGTAAATATTTTATGTTTACATAATGTTCTACAAAGAACTTAGTTACTATGTTAAAGGCGTTCACTAGTGCTAATTTGATCCTGTCTCTGATATATTTAAAGGAATGTGGAAAGTTATTCAGGAATAAGGACATATGATAAGACCAAGACAAGGAATTATTTACATCGATGGAGATAAACAGTAAAACATATGACACCCACATATGCGTGACCAGAACGTCTTTGACACGTACCAGTTAGACAAGAACCATTTAGACACGCACCAATTAGAAACGAACTGGTTAGACAAGCATCAGCTTAGACTCACACTAGTTTGAACAGGACCAGTTCGCAGACGATGAGTCACAATAACGTGGCTGAAGAATGTTGACCAGACTACACACTAGAAAGTGAAGGGACGACGACGTTTCGGTCCGTCCTGGACCATTCTCAAGTCGATTGTGAGAATGGTCCACAATCGACTTGAGAATGGTCCAGGACGGATCAAAACTTCGTCGTCCCTTCACTTTCTAGTGTGTGGTCTGGTCAACAAAGGACCAGTTCAATTTGACAACAACTAGACACACCAACTAGATACGCACCAACTAGACACGCATAAGTTAGACACGCACCAGCTAGACACGAAATAAGTACCATATGCTGGCTTTTCCGCGGACGATTCGAAGACACGTACCATCACCTTCATGTGCCAGAGTCCACAGCAATCAATATATTTTCCGTTCAAAATATAAATTGAAAACAAAAAAGACAATACCAACTGTGCCAACGCTGAGCCCTGGCTTAACCCGATGTTTGAGATGTATAGAGGAATGAAAAGCCCAATATCTTACTTTTCAGACCAAAAACTGACTTTCTTGCACGTCTCTTCCGTTGTATTACAAGGGCGGGAGTAAGGAAGACCAATTACCTGCAGACATCCCTAAAATTTACGTGCTAGACCGACAGCATCGCATTATCTTCGACCAGCCTCTTCCCCATTTCCTTCTTCACCCTGAGGTGCATTGCGGTAAGCTGAAATGAACCTTTTAGTTACAGCACTTGAATCTGTGTGTGGGAACTGTGGTCTCGCCTCACGTATGCCATCATTTGTAACGTTGTCATCACTCACACTAGTGTAAATTCTGGGCATTTTCTATTTATGTTTATTTATAAAAGATAGATACATGTAAAAACTTGGATATATATATATATATATATATATATATATATATATATATATATATATATATATATATATATATATATATATATATATATATATATATATATCGTACCATTGGATCATCTGGGCCTGGAACGGGGGACATAAACCTTGCTGTTAATTCTCTCTCTCTCTCTGTACGTTTTTAAATGCTCTAATCTTCTTTAGAAATGTGATCTGACTTAAATTAGTGCGTCTCTGTGCTGTGCTTCTCTCTCTTCCTTTATCTTTGTTTCTCTGGTTTACCTCACCTTTATTCCTCCTCATGTATGCTTCACTTCTTATTTTGTTTAGTTTGCCTCTCTTCCATGTCGCATAAGGAGCTGTTACACATGACTCAAATATTTTCTTTTTTCTTTCATTCCTATATTCTTATATTAGCTCGGTTTTCATGTTTATCTCTCCATTTCCCTTCACTACCTTCTTTAACCAAACCTTCTGTTACTCTTACTACAACTTTACAAACACCCATTCAAAAGGCCCTGGAACAAAAGGCATGTATATATATATATATATATATATATATATATATATATATATATATATATATATATATATATATATATATATATATATATATATATATATATATATATATATATATATATATATATGTCGTACCTAATAGCCAGAACGCACTTCTCAGCCTACTATTCAAGGCCCGATTTGCCTAATAAGCCAAATTTTCATGAATTAATGTTTTTTCGTCTACCTAACCTACCTAACCTAACCTAACCTAGCTTTTTTTGGCTACCTAACCTAACCTTACCTATAAATATAGGTTAGGTTAGGTTAGGTAGGGTTGGTTAGGTTCGGTCATATATCTACGTTAATTTTAACTCTAATAAAAAAAAATTGACCTCATACATAGAGAAAAGGGTTGCTTTATCATTTCATAAGAAAAAAATTATAGTAAATATATTAATTCAGGAAAACTTGGCTTATTAGGCAAATCGGGCCTTGAATAGTAGGCTGAGAAGTGAGTTCTGGCTACTAGGTACGACATATATATATATATATATATATATATATATATATATATATATATATATATATATATATATATATATATATATATACATGCTATTGGCTTAACACCAACAACGAGTTATTATTCAGATTCAAGAACTGGCACTTAATCCTTGCTTAAGGACACTTAGGTAACCACATCCATCTGACCATGTGGAGAAATGCCCCATAGACCACTGGAACATCATCTAACACAATGTAGTTAGAAGCAAATAAGATTTTCACTGATATCTTACAATGCAGATGTTGTTAAACACATTGGGCAAAATGTTACTGAAGCTATCAAACAAGTTATAAACACTAATCCTTTATTTGATAATTACTTACTTAAGTAAGACCTAAATGAGTAACATTTGGTGGGCCAGCCAGTGGATAAGGGCCTGTGCAGGAAAATCCTAATTAAAAGAAAATAATCTTGCTATGTAACAATATGACAAAGGTACTGGAGGGTCCAAAATAAGTCAGAGTTTCTTCAGTTAATTACATGTGTGTTCCATGGATTAATTGATCACAGTCGGGTTATCGAGACTCTCACTCTCTTTCTCACTCTCTCTCTTGCTCTTTCTTTGTGCAATATGAAATATTTCACAATTTTATTCGTATAGAATTATAAAACTTTTCATTACATTATTTTTGATTTGAATAGTTTTTACTCAGTCAAAATTAACATAAAAATTTCATCAAACCTAACATACCTAACCCTACCTTGCCTATAAAAACTTCACGTAACATAGTCTGAAAATCATTTTACTAATAAAATATACTATTATTATTATTATTATTGGACAAGAACCAATTTGGAAAGAAATATTTGAAAATATTAAAAAATCGTTCTGCCTGTTAAACAAGTCGGACCTTGCATACTAGACCAAGTAGTGGAGTTCGGGCTATTAGGTACGACAAATTAGGTACACACCTAATTTGTCGTACCTATTCGTACCTTCACTACCTAATAGGCGTAGGCTAAGAGGTACGTCTAGGTTTCAAGTGTCGCTCACACACGTGGCTGGGCGACACCAGTTCGAATCCCGATAGTACTGTTAACTTAATTTGCTTATTTCACTTTATTGTGAAGTTCAGAGTCAATATATATATATATATATATATATATATATATATATATATATATATATATATATATATATATGTATATATATATATATATATATATATATATATATATATATATATATATATATATGACTACAAGCTCCTTAGCACAAGCTATGATAATAAACATTTTCGTTTTAATTTTAGTAACATGTAGTTATATGGAACATATCTGTCCGAATTAATCCAAAAAAAAACTATCTTTATGTCCGATGGAATTTGTTTCCTTGAGTGGGCCCTGACGCGCGCGGTTCGTTTTTTATGCGGCATTAGTAGAAACATCAAACTGGCTTCATTAGCGGCTTATGCACTTCCATCTATTATAAGTATTGTCTTCATATATTTGAATAAGAACTCATTCAAGGGCTTATATACAACATACGTCAGACCAGTCGTGGAATATGTATGGGTGGAATGAATTTCTTGCGAAACAGAAAACGAAGTTTGAGAAAGTCTAGTTGAATGCCTCCAGCCAAGTTCCAGAACTGAGAGGTGTGAATAATAAAGAAAGACCCATGGAATTAAACATCACGTCACTGGAAACAAAAGGGGTTAGGGGAAAAGGTGATAGCAACTGATAACATTTTCCACAGGAATTGACAGTGCACACAAAGGCTTAGCATTGGGGAGGAGACCCACATTACCTAGAGAAAACAGGAGAAAACTAAGTAACCCAAATTATCAACAAAACATTGAATTTCATTTTCAGTAACAGCGAAGTAAAAAGTGGCATCTACTAGAAAGTGAAGTGAGGTTAAGTAACTGTGACTGTTTCACTTTATAAGAATGCAACAGAATTAGGTGTATGAATTAAAGATATATTAGTTACCTTAATGATTTTGGAAAAGCGTTTGCCATGATAATCATTACGAAAATACACAGAAAAACCAAATTGATCAGTGATGAAAAAGGTTACTACTGCCTTAATGAAAAATGATACGTAGGTCCTATACTTGCGCTAATTCTGGTTTGAGAAACATATGTAAAAAGTTTGTTCAAGGTTAACAAACTCTTTAAGGATTTAAAGAGTTTTTCTAATAACAAAATTATTAGAAAAGGATTCTGCTGAACGTGTACGGAGTTGGTAGAGTTTTGTTAACTAGTGGTAAATGTTTTGTATGCAGGTAGTTATACATGTATACTTAGGCATGTGTAGTTATCAATGTGTAGCTATTCATGTATAGTTATGCATATGTAGGTATGCATCTGTAGGCATGCATATGCAGTTATGCATGCGCATTTATGAATGTGTAGGTATGAATGAATAGTTATGCATGCATGCTTATGTATGTGTAATTATGCATGTGTACTTTTACATACGTACTATTGCATGTGTAGTTATGCATATGTAGTTATTGTATGTGCAGTTATACATATGTAAGAGTTAATGGTGCAATGTGTGACTTTTATTTTAAAGTAGGTGAACTGTCAGTCTGTATACTATCAAGATAAAAGTATTAGACAGATGTATATCTATTGTATATGTGTATTGTGAGTAATTGGAAAATGTCAGATCTGATGTATACAGACAATAGTCATTTAAGCAGAAAAAAGTGTAGAGATGAATGTAAACAATTTCAAAACTGCATTGTGTTAGTAAAGTCTTTCAAAATTAATTGCGATAAAAATAGAATTAGCGAGATGGAGTGAGGAGGATATTGTGTGTGTGTCAAATAGATGAGAATAGCGAATTGCTGGAAGCGATCAATCAGAGTAAATCCCTCTGATGTGTGAATGAGAGAAGAGGAATTTGTGCTAGCCATGTTGCGAGGCGGAGAAGTCAGGGAAGGAACGTTGCTCTTGCAATAATATCCTTTCTAATAATGTAGACGTTTAAAAGTAAATGTGACCAAAAGTCTATAAGGAAGGACTGTAGGAAAGATCCTTATATATATACGTGTGCGGAAGGCCAGAGTAGAATAGATGAGAAAGCACCACGCAGTATTATAGAATTAGAAATGAATAAACGGAGAAAAACTTTGCGTTAGGAGTATAGAATTATAAATTAAGATTGTCATAGAAATGTTAATAATAAAAGATGTTAAGTGTATGATTAAGCAGAGCAATAAATTCACCTGGGCTGTAGGAGACTCAAATCGCAACCCGTTCTCGCACTCTCTTACAGTCAATATTGACTTATTTAATACGTGCATATGTGACATACTAAACATACTTGTTTACCTTGAAAAGCTTCATAGAAAACACCGACCTTACCTAACCTTCTTAGTATGTTAAGATAAGCATCTTATTGCTTCGTAATTACAATTATTACTTAACCTATACCTATAATAGGTTAAGTAATAATTGTAATTACTAAGCAATAAGATGCTTATCTTAACATACTAAGAAGGTTAAGTAAGTTCGGTGTTTTCTATGAAGCTTTTCAAGGTAAACTAGTATGTTTAGTATGTCACATATGCACGTATTTAATAAGTTAATATTGACTATACGAAAGTGCGAGAACGGGTTGCAAATCGTGGGCCCCAGGCGTGTGAGGCCGAAGTTCTATCGAACTTTCCTTATTAAGACCACTCAATAGCTCGATCGATAGAACTTCGGCCTTACATACATGGGGGTCCATATTCGAGTCTCCTACAGCTCAAGTTAATGTAATTTAGCAAAGCGTTCTGTGAGTGTTTGAGCATCTTGATTAACTTCACTAGGAG